TCAGAGATCCCAGTCTTTCTACGAGAGACTCGAGTCTCTCAATTTTTCAGTTTTATTCATTCAGTCTCTCTGTGAGAGACTCGAATCTCTGAATTAATAATTTTATCGTTCGAGTCTCTCATAAACAGACTGTGAGAGATCCATAAAAACACCTAGGCAATAACTGAGAGACTGTGAGAGACGCTCTCAGAGACGCTGAAAGACTCTGAGAGACTGGAGAGAGACTGAAAATTTTTGTCTAGGATAGTGTTAAGTTACTGTTGAGGTTACCCTTGTATATCTAACGATAATCGACAACTAAGTATTATTTGTACTCAAACGAATTTATTATAAAATTAATGTTAGTGGCCCTGAATTCATTGTGAAAAAAAATTATTTAATAATACTATCTATTAAGCGACATGGAACATACAATTATGCAAAAATACCAATGTTTCTTGAATATAACAAATTTATGTAGATTAAATTCGCGTATAGAAGAACTAAATGATAGCAGATTTTTTTTGAAATTCTTAGGATTTTCTGATATAAACAAGGTAAGGCTTAGGTAAAAGATCTTATTTCCCAATTCGTATATTTCCGAATTTGCTTAAAAATCACTTTGATAAGACAAGACAAAATATTCAAGAATTTGAAATAGTCTGGAGATGAAGTCATATTATTTGGTAGACGTTTAATTTTTTTTTTAAGAAAAAAATAATTGGTTTTATCGAAGTGAGTCGTGTTTTAAATGCCTCGAGGCTTTCGCTTTGTCTTTCGAGTTGTTTTTTGCAAGTTTTTTTCTAAACAACGAAACTGCTTATCGTTTAGTTTTTTATCTACTTTGGAGACTCATTTAAAATTTCTCCAACTTTCTTGAAGAGCCTTTTGCAAGAATACCAATTTAAAACACACATATAAATACGCAGAGAGTAATCGCATTATAAAAGTTTTCACGTTATTACGTATAACCGTATCAAAAAGCTTTAAATGAGAGAACGATTTCTTACACGACCAGGCTCAGCTTTATGGAACACGAATTTAAGACTGAATACCAGGAGCTTCGGAAACAATGTCAAGACTTCGCAACTGCACTTTTAGATCACACGAGGAGTTCGTATGAATTGGAGGTCTTACTGAACCACGACCCGTCGGGACCAGCGTTTGAACATGGAGAGAGAATGCACCTTAACAGACTGAAGTTAGCCATTAAACTGCGACAAAAGAAGGTCTGAAACACATTCACATTACATATTTTATTTTAGTAAAAAACTAAACAGGGTGTCAAAATATATTCTTGGTTTGTATTCTGTCGAAAATGTCAGAAGAGAATTGCGATTTCAAACCCTTTGGTTCTCCCCAGCACGCTGCGTTAGAATAAGCTTCGGCAGAACACTTACCAACCTGCTTGTTGCCATTGAATGACGTTTTACGAATAAGTACAGACAGCGTAGCGAACGCCATCTGCAGAAATTTTCTGTTTATTGCAGGATTCAATAATATTTAGTAAGGCCCTTTTCAATTCATTAAAAAAAACACCCTAACCTTTCTATTTAATGGTAATTAAAATACCGTATATACAATAGGGGTTCTTCTATTATTTCTCATTTCTCGTTGCGCCCTGTGTACACCCTGTAACTACCTAACATTACTAAGGCAGTCATGGTTATAGGAATTGATTAAGAAAAATGTTTCAGTTTGTGGCACATTCTAACGTTCAACAGTTACTGGCTTCCATATGGTACGAAGGCCTTCCAGGTTTTCGTCGAAAGAATATGGTGCTACAGGCGCTAGAAATAGTACGAATCGGAATTATGTTTCCGCTTTTCTCCATTGCCTATATTTTGGCTCCGCATTCTGTGATTGGCCAAACTATGCGAAAGCCTTTTATCAAATTTATATGTCATTCCGCATCTTATTTTACTTTCCTATGTAAGTAAAACTGGTTCGTTGCAAATAGACACTAAATATGTATGTTTATTTTTTTTATTGACTCACAAAGAATTCAAAAATTATTTTGGGTTGTGACATGTTAAAGAATTTAAAATCCTTCTCGTCGTTATCTTACTAGCAATTTAAATGCTTCTTTTTACTTAGTAATTGAAGTATTAAAGTATAAATTTTATTAAAGGTTGTTTACAACAACTGAAGGAATTATATCGTATTAAATCGGAAAAGATTTTTTTTTGATAAAGCAAAAACCACACGTCAGAGCAAATAACTTAATTTTGGTAAAAGTAACTAACTCAGTTAGGATACTAATAAAATTTCGAAAGAAACTACAAACTTTATTTTTGTATGCGGGTAACTTCTCGTAAAACTTTGTGTTTCACTTTTTTTCGATCCAATAAATTTTAAGAACTTCCATTATCAAAATTTTAGTACATATGTACATATGTAGGTGTATTCGTAAAGAAATATATAATTCGGAAATAGCAAATAATAAAGAAAGAATCATTTCATTTGTAAAGGAATATAAAAACATTAACGGTCTTCCATAAAAACAATATGCGATATTCTATTTGTTCTGGAATGCCTATTTTCGAAAGCCAATATTCTTTCATAATAATGAAAATGTTTCATTAAGTTCTTGCAATTTCAGTTTTACTAATACTTGCCTCGCAAAGAATAGAGAATCTGTTCTTCGAAGAAGACGTTGAAGATGTTCCTACAAAACGCGGTGCGAAACCATCTCTAGTCGAATGGATTATATTAGCTTGGGTTGGAGGTAAAAAATAAACGCATTACGCACAAACATATTTAGGTAGATACTAAGAAATTATGTGAAATAAGTTTTAAAATATTATTAAAAGCGAAGTTCAAATGTCCCAAATGCAGAACGAAGGCACCTCTAGTGATAGCTAATAGTTTATCAATACAGCAAGACATTTAAATGGTAGGATTGAGTGATTTGGTATCTTTAGGAGAAACAAAGTTTTCATTTGTTGATAGTAAAGTAAAAGTCGTGACCCACTTAATTAAAAACAAGCAGTAAATCAAAAAGAATAAAGACAGGAGCAAAAACAACCGAAGTGAATGACTAACAACAGATAGAAAATGCAAGGGTCCACTGAATGATGAATAGGGTCGTCAGTCCTAAGTCCTGGTTGGGCACGCACCTTTCCTCTCCTGAGTTAAAATTTACAGTTCCCTAAAACTAGAACAACATACATCATAACTATTTATGAACAGTAATCTAATTAATCTAAGTCAACCTCTAGTCCTCTTAACTCATATTTCTGCTTCTAATAAGTCTCCAACAACTAGCCTTTCATGCCTGAGAAGGTGTCCTACCAACCCATCCAGCATACTTCTGATTGACTTAGATAACACCCTCTGTTCTTTTACTCTTTCTAATATCTCCTCATTTCTAACCTTCTCTATCTACGATATCCTCATCATTCGCACGGTATGAGAAGAATAACTTACTCCAAAGCGAATAGGTCTAATAATCATCAGAACCAAAACGAGTGTTCGCTGTGCAATGAGCGACTGGATAATAATTTCATTACTATCATTTATCAAAAATTAAACAAAATCACCTTGCATATCGGTTGCGCTTTGCCTTACTACGAAGCGAACTACTGAGTACAAATTGATGATGCTTTTGCGGCTCGCGTTGCACATTATACGTTAGTATGTAGTTCTTTTTCTTGTCTTTAGTCTCCTTGCAGTAAATATAACCCAACATTATACATATAAAATTTGTAGAATAAATTATATAATGATTGAAGCTACTTATAAGGTTTTGTAAAAGATTAGATATTAGCAATGAAAATTCAATCTATGTAATCCTTTCTCCGTTTACTCCAAACTTTATAATTTTAGGTCCATCATTTGGATCATAAATATTCGAATTAATTTTATTACAGCATTTAAATTTCAAATAAGATTAAAATTATGAATGTTGAAGTTTGATGTATAGGAAGGCAGCCGAACGTGATTTTGAATAAATCATTATAAGTATATAACGTATCAAAAGTTCATTTCTATTTATAGGTTTAATATGGAGTGAAATCAAACAGTTGTGGGACGTAGGATTGGAAGAATACATCAGGGACATGTGGAACGTTATTGACTTTATAACAAATTCATTATACGTGGCCACAGTAGCTTTAAGGATAGTCTCATATTACCAGGTAAGGACCTCTTGGTTATTTTCTTCCAGAAACCTGTAAATATTTGCCGAATGCGAGCCAAATATCTGCAGTTTCACTCTGATACTTATCGATACTGCGTAGCACTTTCATTTTAATTTTGAGAACACCAAGCATTAAAAACGTAATGGTTATTACAAGTTATTAAAATGTATGCAACCAATTAAACGTTCGTATATAGATATTTAAATCCACCCACTTGTTTGCAATTGTTTATCTCCAATTCGAATACAGTTGTATCTACCGATTTTGTGTTTGTTTACACGGCAAAACGTATTTCTTGGTATATCTGCATTAGCTGATACCTATGTTTTAAACCGCTTAATAAAGTCTGATAAAATGCTACAAAACCCTTGTCTTTAAATAGTTAAACCGATGGCCTTTAAGGTATTTGATACATATTTTGTCAAAGTACAATTCTCGACCATTTTATCCACAGCTAAGCGAGAGATTGATAAACGCCTATGGTAGAAAACATCATTACTATTTTCACTCTTCAATGTTCAGCTTGTTTTCATCAGCAATTTAATTTATATTCCGATTTTATTTACTATTTATATCCCTCTTTTAGCTTGGAATCGCGGTATCACATTTTCTTTAATGCTGCAAGATTTAGTGTTATCCATCCTTAGGATGTAGGATTTCTCCGAGGATAATGAAGAAAGCGTTGAAAAGATTTAGCAGCTTAATAAGTGATACCTACTAAATNTGTAGTACGATGCTACATTTTAGGATTACGTATGCTCCAACAAGGTCCATTTAAATATATGGATATCTACTTGCTTAAACGAATCCCGGCGTAGCTAACCTCAACGAAATAGGTACGTTACCATAATCGAATAAAATAATTCGAAGTGGTCTGTTTTCTGTCGGAACTGCCAGGCGCTGATGAGATCCAAAAAGATCGAAATCGCGATCCGCGTCTGGCAGTTTCGACAGAATACAGACCACTTCGAATTATTTTATTCGATTGTGGTAACGTGCCTATCACGTTGAGGTTAGCTACGTCGGGATTCGTTTAAGCAAGTATATATCCATATATTTAAATGGACCTTGTTGGAGCATACGTAATCCTAAAATGTAGCATCGTAATACAGATGGCGTTTTCCGCGCCATTTGTGGTATTTTCTACTTCTTATTAAGTTTCCTATAATCTATAAGTAAAGAACTATTTTCTGTATTGTTTTCAAAATTTTGGGTTAAGTAGTTTCGGAGATAAGGTGGGGATGGCCAATTTTCATCTATTTTCTTAAATAACATTAAAACTATTTATTCTAAAATTGTAAAAGATATATATTTAAGACCCTTACAATAAGTCTATTCATTTGATATGTCACACGGTACAGTTTACTTGTTCAAAATTAATTAATTATTTACGTTGTGCGTCCGTGTTCGGGTCACAAAAATTCATATATGTACTAACTTTTAACTTAATTAGAGCAAATTGACTGTGACAGATGGACACACAGACACAGGAGTGATCCTGAAAGGTTCCTTTTTTCATTCGCACGTACAAAACCCTAAAAATTGTAAAGGTACAGAAGTTTGGTTGTTCTTTTTTGATGCTGCAGTTTGGCGAAGGTTCAGTTATTTTGGAATATTTCCAGTAACAGAGAATTCTTGTAACTTATATTTCAAATATATCTTCTGCAGTTTTCCTAGATTAGAATCGCAATTTCTTACCCTTGGACAGCTTGAAATACGATGTTTTAGAATGACCAATTCTAATCCACAAAGTTGCATTTCCAATTTTTCTAAATATGACTCATGTAACGACAAATTAATTAGGTACCTATACTTGGATCTAATTAGATTATATTTTAGTTTTGTACTACCCTTTATCGATAATTGTGTCTTGTACACGGCTCATACATACATTAGTAAATAATTAATGTATTGAATGGTATAAATAATAGTTACTGTTAATGACTGATAAAAAAATATGAATACAGGAACATCAAAATCGTCATTAAACAGAATAACTTATGTCTTTATTCGCTTTCTTGTATTTTTTTTAGGTGTGGTTGTGACGAATGTGTGACTTCGAGGCAGGAAGATTCCTTGAGACATTCCAGGTCGAGAATTAACGCCTACCGAGCCCTAGCATCGCCGTCATTAATAGCCTTATCATCAAAAGATCCTATCCTTACTGCCTTTGAACTTTCATGGGAGCTACGCAGGTAGAGTCATTACATATAATTAACCCAATCTAATACAGTGTATCATTTTCGATATAAATATTAGGTATATTAATTAGCGTGCCTTAATATATTTAAATAATTTCAATAGTATTTGCGAAGGCTTCGGTTGAAAATTGAATTTTTAATGTGAAATTGCATAAGCAGAATTAAATTAAATAGCTACTAATTAGGCTACTTATTTATACTTATAGGGAGTTTATTAAATTAAAATTTAATTAATCAGGAGCAAGAAAGAGTGTGGAGAATATCCTTATTGCTCCTTTATTACGTTTATAAAATATATAATTTGTCTATCTATTGTATGAATGCCATGAAATAAAATTAAAATTAATACCTTAGACCCCGATCGTGGATAGAAACAACTGTTGCCTTTTTGTTTTAATAGTCGCGTTATTCCCTATGATGCAACTGAATCGCTAAATCGTATTGAACTATACGATCTAAAAATAGTACCATAGAAAACTTTTTCGAGGTAAAACTTTTTAAGTAAAGTTCAGGTGGTTAAATGCACTTACATATATGTATTCTTTTGTCAGTCCTTCAAGTTGTAACTTTTGGAACGTTTCTTGTAAATTACTTATAACAGCAGAAAGTGCAGGCAGTACCTAGCTCATCCTTTTAAAATGCAACAGCATTAATATTCTGCAAAGAACTACAACGTTGTCACATTTTCAACCCTTAGTAACTCCCTTAGTGCAGTGTTGCACTTGGTTCTTCTTCGAATAATTTGAGTAATAAGCCGTTTTCGCTATGTTATAAACGATATAATGGAGTAGAAATAACGCAATGTTATATGTATTACGAGGGTCGTCTCAAAAGTTGGTTACACTATTGTTTTAAATTTACGCGGTTAGCTGGAAAAATTGGAGACTGAAAGAAAACTTTCGTCTGGATGTAGTGGCAGTGCTGTGAAATTTCTATGCGTCTACCCGGACAATCACGAGCTAGCAACCATGGTGACTCCTCTTACCCGTGTGTTCGTGTTGTTATTCGTTTACCTGTCCCGTGGGATCACTTTCACAGCTGCTCGCTATTGTGAGTTATTGAGAAACCTCTGAAGGGCGATTCAAAACAAACGAAGGGGAAAGTTGAACAAAATGTTCCACAAAATGCTTGCCTGCACACTGCCTGTGACACTCGAACTCTTCTCGAGCAATCTAAATGGGGTATTTTCGGTCATCTACCTTACTATCCTGACCTTGCATATCTCGGGGAAATTGCCACAAAACTATAATAAATTAAAAAAATAATTTGACAGATAGCTGCATAGTTTGGCGGGAAAGTGGTTTAATTGCTATTATGGTACAAAAAATGTAGTGATATTAATAGAAATTATGTAAACAAATAAATATTAAATATTTAAAATAAATATAAATAT